GAGAGTACCAGACAGTGTGTCATACGGTCTGAAAGTTCATTTCGCATTATGGTAACTTTAGGTAACCCTGTGATAGAAATAGGCCAATGAGTGCACCCATGGACCCTAGTCACCGGCAATTGAAGCCAATCTGGCTACCATCCCGGTACTCTCATGGCTATTCCCAAATGACCACTTCTAATTACTTCCCATTCACACAATTTTCTTATTGGATTTTAATTGCAAAATCATAGGGGTGGTTGTGCTACTTCTATTTTTCCATTGTTTACTCATCTCACAGTTCCATCGTAACCGTTATGAGGACTTGGCATTCTGTCCAAAAGCAGATGGTGTAGGCAGCATCTTCGAACCATGGTTGAACAATTGAGCAAGGTGAAGGAGTGAGGACTCAAACAACTGCCGTGCAACAATATGCAATGCGCATGATAGGTTACAGGCATAATTCTTTCACATAATTCAGCAAATATGCAGGTTTGATGCATTTGTCGAGCTAAATACATGGATTCAAGGTTTATTAAGTATGATTAACTGGAACGATATCTAAGGAAACACTTCATTTGGAAGATACTTTACCTGCTCAGTAAAAGCAGCTCGATTCCCTCACACTTGTACCGCAAACACCACCTAGGAGTGTCACAAGTCATTCACTGCAAATGCGCCTTCAACAAATGGGTTAATTAAGTGCGTCATTCGCAGACACAGGGGTGCCATGGACAGATGCGACAGTTTGCAAATAGGCAAGTGAAGCATTGTTAGCATGCACAATAACGATGCAGAGGAAGTGGGTGAAGTGTCGCATCGTTCAGCAGTTCATTTCTCTTCGTCGAAAGTGGCAATCATCTGCTGGAATGAAGTTGCATATTACAGGTATGAAGGCACCTCCTGAGGGAGTGTGAGGACTTGACATGGATGTGCGTGAGGGCGAATAGTGGGAGTGAATAAATCTCCTTATTTCCTTCCCCGACTCACAGTCACTGCGAATTTTTAGATGACTGCTTCTTAAAATCACCACCTAATCCACATATTGTATTCATGAATGTT